GGTATTATCTAAGTTTCTTATATATTTTAATTTTTCTGAGTATTCTTTTTTCTTGCTCTTTTTGTTATTCTCTTATTCTAAGATCTGTATTTCTAAATTTCTCTTTTCTTCGAGATTTGCATTACTGATTCAGTATACTATTTTGGGATAATTAGTATCCTTATACTTTTTATCATCTATACTTTTATCTGCTTCATCTGAGATTTTTCTAGTAGAATATTTTTTTTTAATTCTTATTATTCTTTCTATATACTATTCTACAGTATTTCCATTTTTCACTTCCTTTAGATAGTATATACATGTTTTATATAATTCTTCTTCCTTTATATTATTAGCTATATACTATATCTTCAATATAAGTATTTTAAAATTTAACATTTAATATTGCTAGTAAAATTATTAATAAGATTTTTATTATCTTTTATTTTTTAATACAATTTTAGGAAGTTTGAAGATCAAAGAATCTAGTGATATCTTCATAATAATCATATTAAATAATTAAAAATTTAGCCTACATTAGAGTTAGTGTTAGAGTTAGGTGATAGTATAGTTTAAATTACTTTGTTTAGTACTAGTAAACAAATAATATAATTATATAATATTATATGATATGATGATCACAAGGTTCATTGTTCTTCTAGTCTTCTTGATTTTTATTATAATAAATACAGTCTGTATTTTTTTCAAATACTTTTGTTTCAAATATATTACTTTGTTAGTAAAATAAATAATAGATTACTATTATTTTATATTTAATCTCTTTTGGTTTTACTTCTGAAACTCTATTCTTTCAGTCTGAAAAGTATTTATGTGTTTTTGTTAGTTCTAATCTATTTTGCTATTGAGTTGTTATTGTTTTATTATATGATTCTATAAGTATGATTAGCTGCTAAACTTAGTTTTCAGTTTACTATATAACTATATCTATGAAGAGTAAATAGGTTAGAGGCTATTTTTATCATGAAATCTAAGCAATTATATTTTATTTCTTTATTTCAATAATTGTTAGTGAAAGTCTAACTAGCTTTCTTTCTTTTTACATATTTTTATCACATATTATAGCATAATTATATAATTATATCTTTATAAAACATATATTTATTATAATTTCTAATAACTCAATATTTCTTTGCTTGGTAACCTTAAAACTTTCTACTTTTATTAGATAAAATTTTTTTTTATTAACTAATATGATCTGTAGCAAGATAGAAATTGGTTTTAATTAGTTAATAATTGTGATCTACACATAGATATTATACTAACAATCATATGATATTAACCAATAAAAATGCTTAGAATTAAATTACTATATTTGTATATAGTTAATAAAAAAGTGTAAAAAAATTAAAATATTGCTAAGTATATCAGAGTAAAGAAATATACGTATACTTTATATATCAGTTCTAATGTCTTTAAAATAAAATTGTTAACTAAGAAAATAAATCTGTATAAATAAAATAGTACTATATTTCATAAAGTTCTAGTTAAGCAGCACTAGAAACATGTGAAATCTGTGATATAATTTAATCAATTTTGTTTTTGATAACAATAAATTATATGATTTACTGTGATTAACTGATGATTAAAATTAAAGTACTGATTTAGTAACATAATATATAAAATTTTATCTCATAAAAATAAAAAACTTGTAATTTTTAAAAAGTGAGTTGTACTAAAATTTTTTTTTCGAGAAATGTAAAATTTTTTTAAACTAACGATATTAAAACATAAGATTTTATTATATTTTTACATTACTAAATGAAATATTACAATAATTTTATTAAATTTGACTATATTATTATTAATATAACTACTAATATGTACTATATTTTGCAATCGAAACAAATTATATATTTCTGTGATTTATTGTGATTTACATTAATTACAGCAAATCACAAAATTCACATGTTTCTGAGTAGCACTTCTGGTAACAAATACTTTAATAATCATTCAATTGATATATAGAGTAATATGAAAACTTTTATTTTCAAATAATATATTGTTTTAATTCTATGTAGTTTCTGTAACACAAAACATATTTAGTAATATTTAATTTGTAAAATTTATATTATATTTTTAATAAAAAAAATATCTTTTTTTAAAAATTAAATTTTATATAATGACTCAAAAAATCTCGGCCCTTGTTCTGTTCAAAATTGTAAAATAAAACCAACACAATATCATAGAATCACAGAATATGCTTTAAGAAAAGCAAAAGAAAAAGGCACTTTTAATAAACATAATTATTTAGAAGTAGAAAAGCAATTATGTTATCCTTATTACTTGATATCATTGAGCCTGATTGCTATAATGAAAATAAACTACTAACCTCTAATATACAAGATTACATAGTTCTAGTAGTTAAAAAATATTATCATTTGGTGAAAAGATTAATTTAATAACTAAGGTACTATATTAGAAACAAAGAAAAAAAAATTATTTACTCAAATTAGATTCAAATAAATTTTAAATAATGATTGAGAATACTGAACTATTATTAAGAGGATTCTTTGATAAGCTATATAATATATTTATTCCAAAAAGATGATCAGCCTATAATAGAAAAGATAATAAAAAAAATGTAGTTAATATATGCTATATGATAGCAGCAACACTTAATAGGCTAGTAAATAATTATTTTTTAGAAATTGGATTATATCTTTTAGCATTAGATGCATCATATAATACAATTAATACATTTAATAATGCTGATATTTTAGTTTGCTATAAAACTATTAATAATTATAGAAAAAAAATAGCTAATGCATATCTAGCAAATATTCAAAAATATTTTGCAGAAAAGGTAAGTATTAAATAATTTTTTTTTAATTTAAAATTCTAATATTCTTTATCATATCAAATATCTTGTTAACTAGTATTTATTACTTTCTTTAATATATAATTTTTATTTGTTAAATAATAAATAATAGGAGTTTGCTAATTTATACCACAGGTAATCATCACCTGTAATAAAATTATCTCAAAATTTTGCTTATGAAACTACTTTTGAGGCTCTAGATAAAAAAATTCCTTGTAAAATTTTACTATAGATCTTGCTAAACCCTAACCCTAATACGAGCTCTGGCCCTAACTCTAAAATTAAAGAAAAAATATTTTTTTTGTTTATTTTGTATAGCTATGTTATACAACATTATAATAATAATCATAGATGATTATCACCTGAAGTAAAAATTAGTTAATTTCTAAATAATATAATAAAGTAAATATAATAAATTCTAATAAACAAGATATTTTGATAGCTTTTACTAAATAGGAGCTAGTCAAAATCTCAACAAACAGAATTCTAATAAAATTAAAATTCTGACAAATTAGCTCATATTAGTATGTATTAATTAATTTTATTTGGTTTTTTGTTTGTTAAAATTCTGTTTATCAGAATTTTGATCTAAATTCTACTAAATAATTGTTCTTAATTGAATAACAATTCTCTAAAATTAGTTAAGAATATTAGCTAATATTTTTTTAATATTAGAAAAATAGTTTTTTTGTATATAATATTGATGATTATCACAACATACATAGAATATGATATCTCAATTTTGAATTTCTCTCAAATATACTTAATTTTGCAATATGTGTTAGCAAAGAAATTACAAAATATGCTCTAATTCTAATAAACTATAATAGTAGCTCAATTCATAATCCTAATAATATAGATGCGTCTCTAATTTGTTGGCATTTAATTACACAATATCATAGAATTTTTGACCTTTCATATATACAAAGGAAAAATCAGTAGACTATCTTATAAAATATAAAATTAACAAATTTTGATCAAATTGATCTTTTAACTGTTCATTGTTATGATAATGATATAAATGAAAAAGAAATATAAATGTGATACAGCTAATTGGAATAAA